GCAGCGGCATGGCGGCCGAGAAGCGACAGGAAGAGGACCCGCTGTCCGGGGGACAGAGTGAATCCAGCGACAAGGAAAACGGTTTGGAAGCCCGGCGACCACGCAGGCAGGGCCACGGCCAGAGGTAGATCGGTCCTGCGATAGAGTGGAAAAATAAGCACAGTGTGAACGGAGGTAGGTAACGTCACCTACAATTCCCTTCAATACGACACACAAATCGCTTCTCTCTACAAAAAAGTAGCGGGCCAAATAAAACAGGCGGAGAGAGAGAGAGAGAGCGGTAAGGATCACTTATGTAACCCCCTAAACCGGAAACGAATAGGAACATTCAAACAGGGTACTGAAGGTGGCTCAGGAAGAGTAGATTATAGTGATAACAGACGTAGTTGGCACAAACCACACTCTTCGCCTGGAGCCAACAAGAGCAAATGGGACCCGGCGTTGGCCGCCTTGTCCAATGCAAGCCATGGACACCGCCTAACTTAGTCTTAAGTGAGAGTACACTTTGCGCGGGTACTACCGCACTAACTACCCCCACTCAACCTCAGTAGGTGCCAAGACAGGCTCAAAGATACTACTATTTCAACTACTACTGATTTGCAGTGTAGGTGAGTCTTAGTAGGACGGGTACTATTCCTGACGCTAATATTACTCAGAGGTGACGCTAATTTAAAACCAACGCTGGAGCTCATACTCCCTTGACTTCAACAAGGAGTGTGAAACTTGGGTTTATGCTATTTCGACTAAATACAGGTTTGAGGGCCTGAGCACCCCAGGGCTTGCCTCGGTTTCCGCCCTCTCAAGTCTGTTCAAGAAGCTGTGTCCGTTTATACTAGATTTTGACTACGAGGACTAGGATACTGCTGCTTTAAGCACGTACGTGCTACTTCTAATAATCATACTTACTAAGACCAGTAAAGCGTTAAATCCAACTCTCGTGATGGCCGTGTAAAAGATGTGACTGCAATTAACGAGGTGACTGTACAGGCCTCACGAGAATTTGTCGAAAACGTAGGTTCGCAAATTTATCTTCTGAAATTTTTGAATGGAAATTTTTGCAAATTTAAAACTACTTTAGTCAACAGTTTTTTTCAAACTGAAAACGCAGTACATACTTTCGGTTGCACCGTCGGTAGCTGTCATAAAAGCACGGACTAGGCGAGGGGGGCGCGTCAGAGATCCTACCATCATTAATCAGCTCTAACCGACACATCTCTCAAACGGGAGAGCGGGACACGCAAACCAGGATAGGGTAATGTTATGCTACTGCTCACTTATGACAATTAAGGGCGGCGCCGCAGAACTACATGGAGTCAAAACAATCATCACGCGAAAACCCAGCACGGGGAATGAAAATGCAGAAGGTTACGACCGGCGCCCGCCCGCCCGCCAACCATCAAGCAATTATCACACAGAAGTGGGCCACTATTCTCAATGCGCAAGGAGGGGGGCGGTAGCTGTCCTACGTATGTAGTAGCACAGTGACTACACCCTATAAATACTCCTACTGCTACTACTAACCGTTGCTGCTATCGTCTGTGGTGATGGATTTAAACACGCAATGCGCATAAAATTATTGTTCCAGCGATTACATCGGCTTCTTCTCAATTAAACAGATGTGTGCTGCGGAGCAGGCAAGCCAGGGTAGGGAATGCGTCCGCTGACTGCTCATCAATAGGTCTTCCGGTAGGGGAGGGGAAGCGACCGTAAAATGTCCATTTTGAATGAGGCTTCAACTTGGATGCCTTAATCTTGTGCGTTCGTGTGGAAAAGGAGGGGGAGAGGGGGGAGAGAAGGCGAACAGAGCGTACGCAGGAGGAGGAACTCACCTACGCCACAGACGGACCGAAGGATTTCAAATTTGGTAGCCTTTCGATGCGGAAGGGCTCGCTCCAAATCCCCATCCTCGTTCAACCGGTTGATGCGCGGAAACTGGCGCTGTACTTGCTCCACGGCCGTCTCGTCTGTGAAGATGGCGGTGAGCTGGTGGGGAGGAAGGGGGTGAGAAAATGAAAAAAAACACATTTGAGAGTCATGTGGGACGGATAACCACCAACAGGTATTAGTCGAAACGAGTAAGCATACGCGAGTACTCACTTATTGTGAGTAGTATAACTATATGTATATTCATTATATTGGAAATAGTACATGGTTTATTAGCGATGCCAAATGATACGAGCCAGTAGGTGGAACAAACGCAAAGAGAGCAAACGG